ACAGTGATTCCGAACGTGTGCACTTTTTTCCAAATATAAACTTTTCCAGGATGACAACGGGACAAAGAAACCACAAAAATTGATTTTTAAAGGCAACTGGATGGAGGCATCAGTCAGGTGAGCACACGCTGAATTGAAAAGCCAAAGCTGGCATTGGGGTGGACTGTTTGATCCTCAGGGGTGACAAAAGGAACGAAGCCGGTGTGGTCCCAACAGTTTCGAATCGTAGTTGACGTAACACAATCCCAATACTGGCTTGTCAAGAAGTCCCCCAAGAATTTTTTATCAAGGAATTTTTCACGGGGTATAAATTTATACCAGGGTGTTGCGGGTCCATTGTAATGCATTTTTGTGATTGTTAAGCTGGCTCATGTGACATATATGGATGTGAAAGATATGGGAATGCTGACTTCCCCATTGAGCCTTGCGCACATAAAGCTGGGAATGCCCCACCCCTCCGAGAACGCAGCCAGGAGACAGACTGATACCTTAAATGCAAGCGCCATGATAAAGGAACGTTCCATCTTGCGTGGTAGTGTGGTTTGAAAGTGGAGCTTGGAATCGACAGGCAACTCGATCGCGACCGCGCCAGGGCTCCACGAGGGTGAAGCTTTCGAACCTGAGCTGATTGATTTGCATGTACCAGCGCAGGAATGATATGCCCAAGCGCCAAACTCAACGCGCCGACCGCGCGAAGGCGGCCGCAGAGGGTGCATGCAGAGCTACAGTTCTGGACTCCTCGAAATGATCGCACGCCACACGCTGCCAATAACGAAATGTACAAACGCCAAGTGTGTTACATGCCCCTGCGGAGCGGAAAATGATGATGTTCAAGGGGGGTTGGTTGGAAGTGACCGAAAACGATCGCCTCGAATGTGAACAAGTGCACACGGACTGTCGATCGCCTACGGGACGGTGGGCGAAGCGAAAATCTCTGAGGTGATTTGTGATGCAATATCAGCCAACTTGCTCAACAGGCAGGCGATCCTTCAATCTCCACACACCAAAATCACCCACGACTGAATTTCCAACTGCTTTACCAGCACCCCCCCATTTTCATGTGATCTCACACGTCATGGGGTGTACAAGCCGACTTACAGCCTACAACTAGTTGTCATCCTTATGAAAAAAGTCACAGCATTGAACATGGAAGTTTATCTCGTCGTTGCTTGATCATGCAAGAGTGCAGCACACACGGACGAAGTCACCGATTCGGAGCAATTTTGGGCATTGCGTGTGTTCTGCAGTCGTCCACATCGTCGGCGCTCCACTGGAGTGGCACGGACCACTGTAACCAGGGCACACACGGGCGAGGATGGCGCGCGACGAGTCGCCATGCTGGATTTCGGTTTCAGGACATCCTGCGCCAAAGTACGACGTGGGGGCGGGCGTTGTCGTAACCTCCGTGGTGCTTGCGTCGTCTTCGTTGTCGCCGCCGGACTCATCCAAGGTATTGTCACCCTCGGTGGGCGTTGGCTCTGCCGTGGGCTCTGGAGTTGGCTCAAGCGTTGGAACGTCGGGAGTTGGAATCGTCCCTTCCTCTGCTGCGGTGCCGTTTGTGCTATTCGCGGTTCCTGTGCCATGAATCACGCGGCGACTGGAGTGCGTGACTGCATCGGATACGACCACAGGCATGGTGGGCTGGCTCTCGTGCACGAACGACCGGACGCGCTCAACGTATTGCGCGAACTTGTGCCAAGTAGGATGTTTCTCGTGGTCGAGAAGGTCCTCGTTGGACACGTGGACGCCGGCCACCGACGCCATGAGGTCTTCTCGACGCAGCACCCTCTGCAACGCCGCGAACTCAAGGTTGTCGTCATCGCTAGTTTCACGCAATCCGAGCCACACTTGTGACGTCCCACCGATTATCGCAGCGAGCACCTCCAAAACACAATCACTAGCCATGGAATCGAGTCGCACAAGGCCAACGGACTCGACTTCTTCGCGTAGCACCCAACTCTCTTTGCACAGACCAGTGGACTGGTCTTTGGGATTGTAGGGAGCTCCAAATGAGCTGTGCGACGATGGTTGCGACGCAGCGCAAAGTCCCAGCAAAGCAGCAGCAGCTGCAGTGACCAATGCAGCGCTCATTCTCCTGAGCTCTGGGCAACCACGACCGAAATACCTTGTCGAGCAGTGATGTGGTTGGCGACCTTGCACTGTAGATTGCAACCGTCACAGACCGAATATCCCGTGCATCATATTCAAACGATAATGCAATTTCAAGGGTACTTGATAGGATCTCTTCATACTTTTCTTCCAAATAATTTTATTCAATTTTGCAGGTTATAACATCAAGAAGTATTCGCCGATCACTACTGTACTGTAACTGCGGGCAGGAACTTTGCGGCGAGGTCAAATCACAGGAACCAATATCGTCTGCATGGCACTCCACGAGTGCCGTCAAGATGCCTGGAAGCATATCTTTGCTAGGCAACTATGTTCACTTGGTTTGGCGCGGAACTCTACAACGTTTAACACCCCCAAAACGATCTTCGTCCGCAGGTCCGCTTCGCCGTACTCCCTGGTATGGTGTACCAGTACTAGTTAGTACCTGTAAATACTACAACAATTTGACTTGTAAATATACTTGAATTATCATGTTTTTTCGTATTATATGCTGCAATTTTGATCAGGCCAAACGAACCCAACACAAGAACGGTTCGGATTGTCCAAGGGTGGAGTTATAATCGAGATATTGAATTACTATTCCTAGTGGTTTCTTTGTGTAGTTTGCAGTGCATGGGGCTCAAGCAAATTTGGCGCCCTTGGATATCTTGATGTTTGTATGCATTCCATTTGTCCGTTAGAATTACCTATTTTTTTTATTTGCCATGTGGAAAATCGTACTCTATGCAGCAATTTATACCTCTATATTTGGATGTATCGCGATAATTGCATAGAATGAACCGTTTGACAAGGGAAATCAGTAGTTGAGAATGGTTTAACGTCCATCGTGTAAGGTTTAACGGAAATAGCCATGACGTTTAACAATAAAACGTCAGAACTGCGCCTTGTTGTGAGAGGTATAGCACCATGCTCTACTGACTGAACTACTGTATACAACCCCTTAGTTAAATTGATCCCGAACGTTTGCACTTTTTTTCAAATATAAACTTTTCTAGGATGACAACGGGACAAAGAAACCACAAAAATTGATTTTTAAAGGCAACTGGATGGAGGCATCAGTCAGTTGAGCACACGCTGAATTGAATGGCCAAAGCTGGCATTGGGGTGGACAGTTTGATCCTCAGGGGTGACAAAAGGAACGAAGCCGGTGTGGTCCCAACAGTTCCGAATCGTAGTTGACGTAACACTTCCTTGTCAAAATGGCCCCCAAGAACTTTTTATCTAGTTATTTTTCACGGGGTGTAAATTTATACCAGGTGCAAACATGCGGGGTCACTGAAGCACTACATATATCCGGTTAAACTACTGATTTCCCCCCGACTTTTAAACGGTCGACTTGAAACAAGTTTCAAAGGAAACAAAAATATACAGGTACAAATTATGACAACTGGATGGCAGCAACATGTTAGCCGAAATTCGACAGTTCAGTGTCGAGAATGCCTGTTCGATTCCAGCAGTTTACCACAGTTTCGTGCTTGTCTTGGCGACCCTTGTTCACTTCTCCGTGGTAGCAGATACCCTTGTGCGCATCCCACTGCGCCGACAACCCAGACCTTCAAACACAGCACGGCCTTCGCTCGCGGATCCATCCCTGGTCCTGGACGAGGTTGATCTGGCTGCTCGAGGGCACGTCCCCCTGACCAACTTCGTCGAGTTTCAATTCTATGGCGATATGACAGTTGGAACACCGCCGCAGCAACTTGTGGTGACGTTCGACACAGGCAGCAGCGATCTGTGGGTGCCAGGCAGCGCGTGCGTCCATTGTGCCGGCTCCCATCGCTTTACTCTATCCTCGTCGTCCACATTTCGTCTGTCGTCGAATCCCAACTTTACGATCGCGTATGGCAGTGGGCAAGCGCACGGTATGAGCGGCATCGACACAATCGCGGTCTCTGGGTACAACGCGACGGGGGTGCCGCTGGGCGTAGTTGAAGAGGAGGAAGATTCGCTGAGCAACATGAAGCCTGACGGGTTGATGGGTCTGGCCTTCGATGGACTCGCGACGTTTTCACACCCTCCTCCATTCATGCTG